TTATTTTCAAAGTTGGAGACATACAGGTTTAGTAGATGTCTTTGCGCTTAAAACAACATACTACAAAAAAAACAAAACAAACTACTGTCAAACCTTCTCAGACCTACAAATGGATGACACATCCAGAAGACAGCTTACAAAAACAGACATTGAATATCTAATTTTTCTTTTTATTATTTGTCACCAAACAACTCAGGTTCGACTGTTATAATTTCTGTTTAATGTGAAGCATGTGCAACAAACACGTATTTGGAAACCTTTCACATGAGCTTTGAATGTTTGGTGGGGCTACTGGTGCTAAAAGGACTGTGAGACTTTCTCTTTGCCGCCTGGCTGATGAGTGTGTGTCTGTCTGGTGCTGTGTTTGCAGGTTTCCCATTGCAAATGGCGATGGAGGACGAAGATGAGGTGTTTACAGGATCATGGTTTACGTCTTTGCTCACTGGACCCAGCGAGTCTGAGGGACCAGCCTGGTTCTCTTCTGGCGTATCAAACAGCAAATCAAAAGACAGTTCTTCAGTCTGGGAGGGAACTCTGCTCTTTGTACAACCAGAAACACCAACTAGGGCGTCCCTACCTGACACCAGGCCTACAAAAACATCATCATCGTCATCTTTCGGAGCCACCTTGTCACTGAGGGCGCTGCCTGCTTCAATGTGTGGTGAGTGATCTGAGCGCTGAGGTTCTGGTACCAGAGTGTTGTCCATGTCTGTTGGAGGAGAGGAGTTTAGTGAGAGCTGGGATCCCCTGCTACTAGAACTCTCTCCATCCAGCATCATGGAGTCCAACTCTGATATTTTATCCAGATAAGCTGCATCCATGGAAGCTTCACTGGACATCTGGAAAGTGTCAGACACATTACCTACTAGAATGGATGTCGAGGCTTTCACTGAGCTGTCTGTGCTCGTGCACGGTTGCTCATTAGGGTTTGATCTCTCCCAACCGACCCAGAGAACAGATTCGTTGGGCTCAACATCAGCATCAACATCTGAAGCTGAGGCTTTGGGGAATTTGTCAAGACTGATGAACTGATTTTCCGTGTTGCTGGTAGCCTTGTCAGGGCTAGGGAAATCTTCAAAATCAAGTCTTCTCAAATAAGACGCAGGTTTAAATGCCACTTTTTTCTCACGGATCCCAGGGCTTCTCAAAGTCAGTGAACGGAAAGCAGTGGACGGAGTGGTGGGCAAAATGTCAGGAGAAGCAGTCTCCAGGTTTTCACTTTTCCTTTCAACTGTGGGATTTTTACTGAACTCCCTGTGATCTGCAGATGGCATGAACACTAAGCTATGGTTTCTGGAAAATGTTCGACATTCTGTCTCTGGATTGCTGCAGATGGACGCCCTTTCATTGTCACTCAAACTTCTTATCATCATGCTGATTTTCTGATGCTGTGTGAGACTGCCTGAACCCACATTGCTACTCCCACTGGCTTCCTGCACTTCAGAACAATTCTTTTCCGACTTTCTGATCCGAGACTCCATGTCTTCGATGTACTGGTCACTGCGCTCCAGAGCTCTCTTCAAGTGGTCCACATCGCGCTCATAATGCTGGATTTTAGCCTCCAGTGCTGCCACCGTATAACGTCCAAACCTAGAAAAAGATTGAGTGGCATAAATTGATCTGAAATTTCAACAAACGTAAAACCAGACTACAGACAGAACCGTAGAGATAAACATAACCCCAATGAAACAGTTTCATCACAGATCAGTT